AAGATCGAGATAGGGATTTAACAAGTAATTCAGTATTACTCACACTGCGTTTAAAGGTAAGCTGCATTTAACATTTATGGCCAAACACTACATACCGCGTTTTACTTTCCGAACAATAACAACGATATACATGAAATTTCATCAGATGTCTCAAATACTATGACTGTTGCATTGGCCGAATTAAAAGTAGTGATCATTGACGAAATTAGCCTTTTTAGTACCGGGCATCTTCTTTGGATTGATAAACGTCAAGAGACATATTTGGTCGTGATAGACCATGCTTTTTTGGAGATTTTAATCAACTGCCACCCTTATTTGATTTTGCTTTCTACAAAGAGTTTCCCAGTGATCCTATAAAAAATTTAAAGTTTCAAGATGTATGGCATTCATTGAAAGTCCACTACTTAACACATAAACAGTATCTATAGAATTATCACGACTTAAAACTGTACAACTGAAACCAAAGTTCAGCTCTTTACGCTCACTACGTACAAATATTCAAGTTATTTCCCACAATGTTCAACGCCTAAATGCTCATGTCGATCAAAGTTAACGATGAAACATATATGTCATCAGATTATATTTTATTATCTGAAACTTGGACCACTCAGAACCAAATTTTTGATATTCCTGGATTTACTGAAATTTCAAGAGAGTATAGCCGATTCAACCACCTCTGGAGCTTATGGCGCAATGTGTCTTATAAATGATAGATTAAATCAGTCCACACCATTCAGCAAAATACAGCTATTGAATGCATCCAGTGAAGGGTATATCTATAGCGGGACTCAGTTCTCCGACATTACTTGTTCTATCATTTTACATATTCCCTAAATTCAAATTAGACGATGCTATTCCAATTATAGAATCATGTATCACAGTCAATGAAAGATAATTTTAGCTGGTGATTTTAATGTTGATTTTATACGAATCTTCATCAAGAACAAAATTATTACAACTTCTTGATAAATACAATATGTACACAGCCATGCCAGATGATATGAAATCTACAACAAATAATGGCACATTCATCGACAACATATTTACTAATTTTACTGTTCAAGAAGGCAGTATACATATTGTTTACAAGCTACCATGACCCGTTAACCATGACCCGTTATATATTACCTTTTAAGCACATTTATTCAATAAAATTTAAGCTCATGTGATTTAAAAAAAGTGTGTCACGTCGTATTAGAAAAGCGCCCCCGGGAAGGCTGATTAGCCTTGAGTACGGCCGGATTTTTTCTTAAATCACTTTCTCCATTAAAGTCCCTTTTTAATTATTTTCTTAATTTAATAGTCGATTGTTATATGAGCACTTTTTTTTTTAGTTTTATCTTAAATGTTATGTGTGGTATTCTTGGGCAGAGGGCTCACCGTAAAACCCTCAACATCTGGCGGAGAGATCTCCCGTACCCCAATCTCATATCTCTACAAAGCTATAAGTCGAAGAAAAAAAACACGCTTTTAAAAAATTACACTGTAAAAATCAAATTACGCTGTAAAAAAAAAATACGCTGTAAAAAAAAAGTTATACCGAAGATATTATGCTGTAAAGCAGAAATGATCAGTTTTCTGAGGTAACACTTTATGATTAATATTATGGGCCGTAATCTTGGGAACATGGGTTCCCCCTCCCCCAAACCCCGTACCCCCTTTTGCATAAGAAACCCCGCACCCCCGATTATTTTACATATCTGTTTAAGATATATTGTTGCAACAAAAATAAAAGTATATTGTTTTTTCTGATGGTAATACTCCAATGTTTAATGTTATGGGCCGTCTTCTTGGGAGGAGGGATTTGCCCTCCCCCCAAACCCCACACCCCCCTCAAAAAATTCAAAAATGTGTGACTGTTTGTACAATTCCTAATTCCTATTATTTTATATATTAATTGTATTAAGGGTACGAATATTGGTCTAAGGGGACGATGTCGCTCGTATTTTAAATGGTCGCGTAAATTCTCTACCTTCATGAAAGTTAGTTACGGAAAAGACGCTTCTAATTGAAAGGCGGTTGAATATATACTTAAAACTTCTATGAAAACATTAAGTATTCGTATTGAATAAAGTTTACGTATGTAAAAAAAACAAAGGGACACAGTGCACAGAAATATTGATATGCGACAAATATGCAGGGGAACAACCGAATAATTTGGTAGTTTTACGACAACACTTGTACGTTAAATGTTTCATTGTTAATAAAAAAAGGATAAACTCTTGTACGTTTAAGGCTCATTGTTAGTGAAAAAAAGCGATAACACTTGTACGTTTAACGTTTACTGTTAGTGAAAAAAACACAACACCTGTCGTTTAACGACGAAAGTTGGTTAAATAACGAACAACAAACTTGTACGTTCTGCAATCAACATTGGTGACAGCAAAGAACTTGGTTGTTTGACAAACAGTATATTTAGACGCTTTTTCAACATATTTTTACGCAATAATTGATGTCAGCTATTTTCAAACAGGTATTTGGCTGTAAAAGTGGTACGTTTTGTCACCAACTATTTCGCCATAATGACTGATGTTAAAAATAAGTAGTTATGACAGTGAACACCAGACTGGAAGTAGTCGACTAAAAATTCTTATAGTATAACTTTTAAGGATAATAAGATAATCAATGTTGATTTTAGAGGGCGTAAGCAACATAAATATAAACTGATTGCCAAGATTAAAAAGAATAGTAATTATGTGTTTGAAAACACTATGTTATAAAACGCTTTCGATAATACAAGGACCAAAGCCGAGTGTGAAATATGAGTTTGAATCAGATGTTATATGATAAGTAAAGACGTTCGATAAACAAGAAGTAAAAAAGTTGAGGGAACACAAAGGAGTCAATTACAAATTATTACAAAACTAGATTTTAGTCAAAATAAAACTGATGTAATATTTATTTGAAAAAAAAAGGAAGCGTATTTAAAGCAATATTCTATCCTGTGTAGCGCCAAGTTAATTTAGATTGGCGGCAACAATGCGATCCCGATTGAACTGGTTGGAATATCAATGCGAGGTCAAAGTACTGTAACGCATTGAAGGTCCAATGTAGAGATCCAGGGGACAGATCATCATCGTCCACGGAGGATAGACTTTCCAAATTTCAATAATTTGAAAAAGAAAGCACGACCGGAGTTGGTCATTATATCCAACACTTTTTTTTAATCATCTACATAGATTAGCAACACAAAATGTCAAATCAAAGCATTGTTTTAACGACAGAATTTATTTGTAGGGAATTGTCTAATTACGCCGATGAGGTAGTTCAATTTAAAGGATCCGTAGCCGAATATGACTTGTGGTTCCCAAACGGCCCCAAGCGTCACGGAAACTGGGTTCTTTCTCAAAGATGTTAATCAAGAAAAAAGATCATTCTTGGTGAAACAGTTGATGAAGCCAAAACAATTAAAAATGTTAAATGTTTTGTTTGTAATCATGCTGGAAAGCCACGTACACATACCAAGCCTACAAATAGCGATGATAGACCTGCCAAAAAATCCCGCATTTATAGTCTATCAATCAAAGTTGGCTGTACCGCAAAATTCAGATACAAAGAAATGCTCAACGGCCAGGTAGAGGTGTCCTATTCTCGGGAGCATAAAAACCATAATCCATTAGATACTTCCGACATTGGCAAATCGAAACTCACAAAGGATTTCAAGGTTGAATTTCCACACATGTTGACAAAACATGGATTGCAAATCTATCAAGCCATGAACAAACGGATGACGTAAATGCTTTACAGATGCTTATCAAATAATAATTGGCCCAAAGATTGAAAAAAATGCCGATTTTCAAGGTGTACCAATGTCTATGTGGATCAATCATAGAGTAGTTCAAAACATGATTTATGAAAGACTTAAGAAGAAGTACAGAAAAGGTGAATCAGAAAAAATCAGTGTAGAGCTATGGACTGATTTTCTACTAATAAAAATTATCAGGCTTTTAATATTTTGATCAAGAAGACGGGCCTAAGATGGTAGATAGGGTCTCGCCATGTCAAAAGGGAGAACATGTTCTCTGACTGTTGTTTAAAGTTTATCACTCCATTTTAAATTTGTTTCCAGTTTTTAGAATTATCCTATGGATGGTGCTTGGATTGAACATAAAAGACATGCACTTACGTCATGCACAGGGCAAGCGTTGTTACTTCTTCACCATTGTTGTGAGTAACACTACCACAACAAAGGCTTACCAGCAGCATTCTTCATCACCAGTGACGAGTCTTCATATGCATTGACCAAATGGTGAGATGGTTGAATGTAAACAACAAGTGAGCGAAAATAAAATTATGATCGATTGTAGAATAATGTAACAAATTGCCATTGAAACAGTTTTAGGCTGCACTGTTTCTGTTTTGTTATGCCATTGGCATATTCCGAAAATTTAGACAACCGCATGAAGGAAAGATAATCGATCTTTTGTCTGCTTTAACTCGTTTATACACATACGTTGTTGCTGATTTAGGGTCTAATAACAATATCCCTACCTATTATCTCACCCCTTCCTATTTATTATCACTTCCCAAAGTTGATACACCAATTTCAGTTGAAGTAGTTGTTGAATTATATCCTCGTGGATCTGGTAGTTCGTCAGCCGAAAATACCTGTACGACATCCGCAACATGATCTGGATCTTCAATACAAATTGGTTTATGTTTTATAAAGTCTCTGACTATTGAATTGATATCATGCATTAACGTCTGCAAGTCTCCCAAAGTTCTGATGTTTACATGGCTTGCAACACGGTGTTTATTTGATTGTAATGTTCAGTATCAAAAACATAAATTTGAGCAAATGATGGTGCTACCTTATTTGATGAGAGCATCAGTATAATAACATGATAAATACTGCCGCAAACTCGGAACACGTAGGCTCAATCGCAAGAGTTCTGAACAGATTACTAAGAATAAACAACTATCAAAGTGAAGTTTAAGCCGTTGTTGTACGACCGTAGAGTGCATCCGCACTTCAATATGCCAAAACAATTATAAGCAGAGAGAGATATTGAAACTGGACCACAACAGTTTTCTCATAATGAAGGCGCAATGTTTTTAGTCACATATCATTTTAATTATGATTAAAATGAGAATGTGAAATTTTTATTCTAAAAACAAAGTGGGGTCCGGAATTTTAACAACTCGATTTTAGGCATGAGCGAAGTATTGTCACAAGCAGGTTCAAAACTTTAAATTTTTTCTTTTCCGACCAATAGTATCGTCCGTTTATACATAGTATTGCGCTCTCCAACCATGAAATATTAACTGCTTCTACTCTCAAATTGAGTACCCGCGCGCGTAGTATGGCAGCTTATCAATCAAAGTCTGAGGACATTTATTGTCAACACTGTAAGACACAAAAAGGATAAACCAAACTTTATGTATGAGACATTTGACAGTGAGAATAACGAATTAAAAATAAAAATGGAACATTTAAAACAAAGTAAAATTAAGAAACTGCAAAAACTAAACTGAAGCTTTATTAAACATACGAGGCTGTTTTGAAATAGAAAGACTTAACATATATTATTAATCGTGAACTTAACGCACCTCTAATGCTTAAGTTACACTGCTATTATCAGTTTGACACTGGAGAAAACTTTGATGTTTCTCAATACATCTATAAATATTTGGAAAAAGACGATATCCCTAGCCCAAGGCAAGAACGTTGATCTACGCAAAAGAATTAATTGTTATACATCTGATTAACTATTGTATGCAGAATGTTTATACTTCATAACGCAAGATTTGATAATCCCTAATATTAATTTCAAAGGTGACCCCTTCATCCACCAAAAACAAACAATTTTCAGTTCTTCTCGAGTAATTACATATTGTTTGTGAAAAAGTGTTCATATACTTTTCTCTAACCTGATATATAATGCTTATGGTATTAGTTGTTATACTGGGGCTAATGGTAACCTCTACCCCGAAATCACCATAGTAACAATTTGTTTTTTGCAATGACGTTTTTCTGTAAAAGTCACTTTTATATTATGACTTTCTCCAACAAATCAGTTTTTATATATGCTCTTTTTTTAGTCTAATGGTTAATATTATGGGTCGTAATTCTTAGGAGGAGTGGTTTCCCATCCTCTAATTTTGTATCTCGGCTCAGAAATATTACGCCATAAAAAAATTCATGCTTTAAAAACACAGCGCTGTAAAAAAAAAAGGAATATTGTTTTTCAGAAGGTAACAATTAATGCTAAATAGATGGGCAACCCTCAAAACATTCGTAAATTTGTGACTGGTTTTTTTACAATTTCTAATTCCTATTTTTTTTTATATATTAATATTAACGGAGGCTTTTTCAAACCAAACCTCCGTTTCGGTAAAATTTGACCTTCGCTGCGCTGCAGTAAATTTTTGGACCTGCCACTATGGTTCGGTACGCTGCGCTTTGAAAAAGCCTCGTGCTGCCGCAGGCCTGTTTTTGAATATAACAAACTTAACATATATTAATTAACCATGAAGCCCATGCACATTATAACTTAAGCTACACTGCCTATTATTAGTTTGATACTGGAGAAAACTTTGATGTTTCTCAATATATAGTAATAAATATCTGGAAAAGACGATATCCCTAGACCCACGCAAAAAAGTCGATCTAACGCAAAAAGTATTAATTGTTTATTTATCTGATTAGCTATCTATGCGCAGTGTTTTGTTTCATAATGAAAGACTTGATAATCCAAAATAGAGTGCATCTGCTTTTCAGTAGTTCCTAACGGTTTTGTGACATTTTTGAGCATTATCTCCGACTAGTACAAGTAATATAAAGGAAACTTATTCATAGCCAGATTTTTTTTTTTTTTTTTAAAACAATTTTTCAGTGGAAGTAATGTTGGGCCTCCGGCGCTGCGATTTCATAGGCCGGCTCTAAACAGCTTCAGATCAATATTTCAAGCCTTTCAATACATAAATTAATTTTAAAAAGGGTCACGCGTCTTAAGAATATACTTTATAAAATATATTCGAAATTACAAATGATTTCACTTAGTACATAAAAAAGGTTGAAACTATTTTACCCTTTTTCAGGGTCGGTGATTTTAAGCCTACCGGCTGCGATTTCATAGGCTGTCTCTAAACAATTTCAAATCAATATTTCAAGCCTTTCAATATATAAATTATTTTTAAAAAGGGTCACGCATCTTAAGAATATTTGTTTTAATGTATATTTTAAAATTCAAGTAGTTCTACTAAGAGCATCCCCAGCAGTGCCCGATAAAAAACTCTTAAGTTTGAGTTTTTTTTTTTAAATTCAGCAATAAAAGTTTTGTCAACCCCAGCAGTTTTAAAAAAAACTCTTAAATAACGGACCTCAAAAAACTTAATTAATTAAATGTACCTGAAAAAAAAAAAGTGTCAAGATCTTTTTACTCAATCCCGAATTTTTTTAAGATGGAACAACTCGCAGCCATGGCACTCCTGAATCTCAGAAAGCGTGCAAATAATAATGTCCTTCATATACTGAACATCAAAAGACTTAAGGATGAAATGGACAGTCAGTCAACGACAGGTGGTTCAGTCAAGGGACGCAGAGTCATTGACAGAGACAGTGAATCCGGCTATCAACGTCTATTAAATGATTACTTTGTCGAAAACCCGGTTTACGGCGAAAAAGAATTTCGTCGTCGATTCAGAATGCGTAAGAATGTCTTTCTTCGAATTGTGGAAGCTATCACCGAGCATGATCCGTATTTCCAAAGAACGCCAAATGCTGCTGGAAAAATGGGTCTTCATCTTTTGCAGAAGGCTACTGCTGCATTACGTCAGCTATGCTACGGCGTCAGCGCTGATACGGTAGACGAGTATTTGCGTTTGGGTGAAAGTACTGCCTTGAAAAGTATGAAGAAATTCTGCGCTGCTGTCGTTGAGGTTTTTGGAGAGGAGTATCTTAGAAGACCCAACGAAGAAGATACCGAGAGACTCCTCGAAGAGAACAAAAAACGTGGATTCCCAGGTATGCTCGGGTCTCTCGATTGTATGCATTGGACTTGGAAAAACTGTCCAACAGCATACCATGGTCAGTATACCGGCAAGGAGAAGAAGCCGACATTGATTTTGGAAGCAGTGTCTTCGTATGACCTGTGGATCTGGCATGCCCATTTTGGCTTACCAGGTTCATTGAATGACATTAATGTTCTTGACAGATCAGATTTGTTCGATGAATATACGAACGGCAGCAGCGTGGATGTGAAGTTTGACGTCGGTGACCAGGAGTTTACCATGGGGTATTATCTTGCCGATGGGATATACCCCAACTTTGCCAATTTGGTAAAGACATTTTCTGTTCCAAAACCTGGTGCCGAGGCAGTAAATATCGTTTCTAAAATATTAAAATTTATATGCTAGCTATTACTCATGACTTCTTAAAATATAGAACTTCGCTAAACAACAAGAAGCATGCCGTAAGGATGTCGAGAGGGCTTTTGGCGTATTGCAGGCTCGATTTGCTATAATTAGTTGTCCTGCAAGATTGTGGAAAAGAAAAGATCTTGGTATGATCATGAAGGCGTGCATAATTATGCATAATATGATAGTCGAAGACGAGCGGGATGAGAGTGACACCCTTCCAAACAATTACTTTAAGTCTCATCCTGCCAATCCTTCTGATGCTGCAGACATTTCTCGCGATCCTTCGTTCTATAGCTTTTCTAGCTATTTAGAGCGCCACGGAAACATCATTGATGCATCTGAACATTTCAGATTGAAGAAGGCCTTGATCGCGCATCTCTGGCATAGAAAAGGATATGGAATTGTTTAGACTTCACTTCTAAATAAAATTCACTCAAAAGTATAGGTCTATCTAGTTTTAAAAATATAAATAATTTTGAGAATGGAACAGAGGATTAAACATATTTATTGTTCACCATTGATATCTTCTGTACGAAGTATTTCGTTCTCAATCTCAGCTTCGGGGCGATCCAAAGCTTGTTTGCGACTAAGCTTATAGAAACGCAAAGTCTCTTCATCATCCTTGAACTTCTCCAAGTCAACGCTGAACAATCTCTCATCCAACAACTTTTGATTGACTGCCAAAAGCTTTTGGTTGACAGCCAATTTCTCCTGCTTAATGGCGTTCGCCATATCCATCTTCTTCATCATCTCAGAGTATTCGTCTGCTAGCTGTTGCTGGTTTGTTTCCCAGCTAACCAAGGAATCAGTGATCTTCTTGTCCATGGAAGCCTGGTTCTTGCTCTTTTTGCGTCCCTTAGGACGCGCAATGATGGATCCATCACTTTCACCATCTTCATCCTCAGCAATCACTGTTGAGGTCCCAACCTCAGTAGCAGCAGAGCTACCAGGAGCACAAGAAGCGGTAATCGTTCTCTTAGAACCTGCCTTTACCGCCTGTTTTCTCACGAGCTTGGCGTCTCTTCTTGCCATCTCATCATTCCACTTTGGACTACTACGAAGTACCAAAAAACAATCGTAAAAAGCGAAATGAACACGGTATTTTGTCTGAAACAAATTGAAAGCATCCCCCAACTATTTGTTAAATTATTTGAGTTAAACTACTATATCCCTTTATCGATAGTTATATGATACGTACTTCATCTGCAGCAGCATTACCGCTTTTTTTGCGTCGCTGGATTGCTGCGACACAGCCGCAGTACTTGCTGA